TTCCCTGAAACACTAGTCTCTGCCAAGTTTGACATTTCAGAAACTGAAATCGAGTCGTGTCTTTAGGTAGAATCAATGATAGTCTGAGTGGTTTGAGCAAATGAAGCCCCAGCTCAAAACATTCGACCCCTAAACACAACATATAAAACACTACAACAATTAATTTCTTTTATTAAAGGGGGTTTCCTGTTAAAATGCAAATATTTTTGCATGTTACTGAGAATAAGTTTATCATATTGTCCCCTTGGTCTAGGTTTTGATAGAAAGGCAACATGAACCAACATTTAGAGAACCATGCAATCTGGTAAGAATAGTACATATTCCATCTCATTTAATATCACCAAATAGCCTAGGAAATTGGTATCGTTAATCTCACTTTAGAAAGAGCAAATAGACTCAGAGAAGTAAGTTAACTTGCCAAGTTAGTTAGTGGCAAAGCCTGGATTCAAACCCAAGCCTGTCTGATTCTGAATGTGACTGATTCAAACCTCAGTTACTTGATTTGATATATATTCTAGAATGTTCCTCTGCTTTCCCATACTGCCTCTCAGAGACAGAATTCCCTGAGCAAGAATGTGAGATAATTTCCACTTCTTGTGCCAGCTCTGTGGTGGCTGCCTTGTGCACTGAATGGAGAATAATTTTTAGCTGCAACCACGCTCAGCAGGAAAGAGGATCATGATAAATGACCAATGTCTACCATGGAAGCTGGAGGCAGGAATAGAAGTCTGGAACATTGTATTTGCCACTACTGCCTGAAGCACAACACTAGGGACCAAAGAAATGTTTTACCAACTTCACAGTTGTGTTTAGGAAAAACCCTTAAAATGAGGCAATCAATCAACAAAATCTTACTCCCTAAATAAAGCCTAAGGAGCCAATGATAAAAATAAATTTGGGGAAATATAGTAAATAGAAGACAGCATTATATATGGTATCCAAAGTAGACCAGGCCAGCCAACTTGACATGCTAAATGTTTAGCCTCATTTTTTAATAATCAATTTGGCTCCACCAGTCATAGGAAGACCCACTTGAACTTCTACCTATGCTTCACCAAGGCCACTACCTCAAACCACTTTTCCCCAGCAGAAGAGAGAGAAGAAATTCTAGACTGGTAGATAAATGTCACAGCATCTAATTCACCTTGTTTATAGCTCCATTCTAGAACTGTATACCAAACCAAGTAACTGAGCTTTGAATCAAGCTCTGTCCAGATTTACGAGTTCTAAGAAGTGGGCCCCTGGATTTATGTGATCATCATAGCTCTAAGACCAACATACAGCCTCTCTGGAGGAGCCATCGTGGGTGGCCACCCAGCTCTGACTCCTCTTCCTTTCCCTTAGAAATCTGCAATTTTACTTAAGTATCCAGTCATCTTTCCAACTTTGTGTGGCTCAGGAAAGTTTAGCCCCACCCCAGCTCCTGACAGCTCACATGTAATCCATGCCTTTACTCAGCAACTAGCTTAGCAAGCTGATGTGACTGTGTTGAGACTCCTGAGATGCAGGCAGAGGTTTGCTCTAAGCATTTGAGGAAGTCCATCCTTGTTCCTCTGGGACTGTACCAGAGAATAGCTATTTCTTTATTCCAGCCAGTGTTCTGTGCTGACATGAGGTCCAGAATTGCCGCAGCCACATCTCTACCCAGGCATTGCTCAGAGGAGGGCAGAGCTAAAAGAATCACAAGGAAATGAATCAGGACTCAGCTCAGATGACCACAATAACTCTGAACTTTCAGTTACTGAGTCAACAAATATGTTTAAATCATAAGCCGTTACTTGGCTCCAAATGCTTCCTAGCTGACCTCACTCATCCACCTGCACCATGAGTCTCTGAGGTAGTCACTCTCTAGACTGTAGACGAAGTCTCCTTGAAACTATTTGCCTACTTCAAAGACAGTGTAGGAGTTAAGAGCACAGGTTCAAACCTTGACCCTGGCACTAATTTCCTTTGCGATTTCAGGCAAGTTACTTAAACTCTCTAAGCCTCAGTTTCTTCATCTGTAAAGTGAGGACAATAGTCACATCCAAGAATTGTATGAGAATTAATGAGATAAACCACGTAAAGTGCTTAGAACTGGGCCTGGCATGTAATTACTATCATTATTACATGAATTTCATCAATGCTTACTGCCTGATTTCCTTCTTCCCAAAAGCGGGACCCCATTCCACACTCCTTGCATCTACTTGGATCACCACCTGTAGTCTCCAACCCTGAATCCAATCTAAGGGTCTGTTTAGCCACTGCACCTGCGTCATTCTGAATTTGGACTGACCATTTCACATCCAGCTCTAGACATTGGAATTTTCCCGTCAAGGACTCCCAGAGACAACATGGCTAAGATAAGCTGGTAACCTAAAGAAATACGTCTAATGCTAGAAGAGTACATTTTGACCAGTTGTTCTTGCCATACACTACTTATTAAGGGCCTATTCTTGTGGGTTAATGTGTGCCGAAAAATAAGTGACTAATTACTATTCATATTTGGCTTTGTTTCTCCTGCTCCAGTAGCCCTCTCTTCCCATTTGGCCTCAGCTGTTTCATTCACTTGGCATTACATTTTTTTTTCTTTGCTATGGAACCACTGTGAGCTGTAAAGCTGAATTTCAAAAGAGAATGGTCAGGGAAATTTTCAAAGACTACATCTTTCCAATTTCTTTTCTCCTAGAAAATGAAGTTTAACAGTCCTTCCACCGTTAAGTGTGGCAGTTGAGTTGATGGGACAACTCCTTTAAAAGCACATACCTATGGCTCTTTTCCATACTCTGGTATCAGCTTGCCTGCCACTTTTCGTGCAGCTTCCCTAGGAACTGCGCCATACACAGCTATCATTTTCTGCTTATAAAAAGAAAGTGAGAGATCAGGATTGTTAGACTCTATAAACACTTGAATGCTTGAGAAACGCAAAGCAATGAGCTATTTTACAGGGCTGCTGGAGACAGGGAGTGGAGAGAGGAGAAAAGAAATTATATCTTAAAACTCCAATGCATACCATTCTTACATGATATCTAAAGAGACAGGAATCAAGTTGAGCATTTGAATGTTAAAACAAAATAGACAATGCAATGATCTTCACAGCAAGATAGCTGTACTGCCCTGAATGGAAAAAGGAAGAAAAAGAAGAAACAGAGATAACATGAGACACAGGGAAAAGAGAAAGATGGATGGTCCAGGGAGGGTGCAGTTAAGATTCCTGTAGTTTTACGTGAAAATAATTCTGTTACACAAAGGGAGTTAGAAGAGAAATAGGAAAAAATCAGGCTGAACTTCACAATCTATGATTCCCTGATGTAGAATATTTCTTTATCTGATTCTAGCAATTTCAAGTGGCTAATTCAATGCTGTATAATCTCAAAAAACGATTCATGGGGCCAAAGAAGCAACTTTGGAGAATCTAAACTCCCTGGTTGAAATTCAAGAATATTATTTTCTTATTTTTCTTCAGCCGCTCCACAGTTCCAAGGCAAATTAATAGAAAGTCAATGAGATTTCAATGTGTGGGCTGCATTGTTCTTTTTTAATGTGGTCTGTATAAACTTTCCCCATCTGCACAGATACAGAGAGGCCTGTTTTGGTGTGCTTTTTCAATTTTCTGCTCTTCTATGAAATGGAATGCTTCTGAGAAACTAGAGTGGTAAAGAACTTAGAGCAGGTGATAAAATCTCGTTTTTGTACTGTCACTCAACGACATTGCCCTGCTGAAGCTGCCCGGCAGTAATGGCCATTGAAATTATGCTGGCCCACCAGCCCTTGCACAGGAAGAAAACTAACTGGAGAATGTGGATTTTATTGAAAATCAAAAGTCAGCTGACAAGATGCTTTCTGAACTCACCCAGGAAACTCCTACTCAGAGTCATCGGACGTAACAATACTCAGAGAAAGATCTAGAATCTAAATTTCAGAGAATTGTTTAAGAAATACACACACATACCCACATCAGGATGAATTTTATAAAAGCATATGAAAGGCTGCAGGAAAAGTGGATTTAAAGATGGTATACCATAGCCATCAAACGCCTAATGCATTTTTAAGTTCTATCAATTCCTAATAACCATAATTGAGCCTGAAAGCATAAAGTAGAAAAATGAGTGAAAAAAAAGAATAATTTTAAGGTTGAAAGATAGTCCTTTTCTAAATAAATGTAAGGAGGTATGGATGCATATAAAGGCACATATAACGAGTGTGATTATATAAAATAGTAATTCCTCACTTGTATTCCACACCTACTCTGGGCTACTGTCTGTTCCTTGTGCTGCAGATACAGCTCTGAATGAGACAACATTTCTACTCCTAGAGAACTTAGTTTTTCACTGGAGAAAAACAAAAATAAACAAATGTATTTATATAGCTATTTTCAGTGTCTGTAAATGATCAAGATCAACAACTTCAGATGACACTTATACCAGCTGTATTAAGGAAGAAATGTAAAAACCTATTTGGATCATGACACATTTTCATAGACACCAAAAACATAGCTTCTTTAAAAGTAGTATGATTATATTTATGAAATATGTACTATTTATTTTTTTTGACTTTTCTAAGTTGATACTCAGAAGCCATCTTAAGACCAATGAGTGTCTGGACCAAAGATATGCCACTTTCAGCAGATCAAAGAATTTCCATCTCTGGTTCATCATTACGTTTAACATTTTCAGATTTCTATTTTCAAATAATCTTTTTAAGTAAGCAAATAAAATGCAATCTAATATTCAAATAATGGAACAAAAAACCATACAAAAAGACAAAACTGCTGAAAGTGAATTATTGTCTAGCACATGGATTTACTATGCAAGAGCTTGAATTTTTGTCAGCTGATATAGGTAAGCCCAAATTTAATGAATGAAAAATGATTTAGAAGGATGAAAGTATATTTTAAGAAAAGGGTGGACTGTATGGAAGTTGAATTTAAGGAAGTCTCTATACCAAGTCTGTCACACATGCTGTGATGCTGTAATTAACAATAGAGACTTCCATTGGAAGAATGTCCTGGGACCCAACATTCCAGTCTCGCCCTCTCTGAGGTGGGAAAGACCAGGGTTTGAGACTCTGAATGAGGTCCAAATGAACCATTAACATAACATCTGCCCAAAGAAAGTTCCATTCAAAGGATAAGGAAGACCAGGCGCATTAGTCTTCTACCCAGAATCAAGGGATGAGAGAAGGAGGACCAGGTGATTTGTGCCATTTCTCTTTCCCTTCACATCCACACTTAATCACACAGGTAGGCTAGTGAGAACTGAAATAGGCTATGCATTTTTAACGTAGTCCACAGAAGCCATTCTGCACCAGTGCCCTTCAGTGAGTCCCTTAACCTCTGTGAGGCTCAGTTTCCTCATCTCTAAAATAAAGAAGAATGATTAAATGAAGTAGCTCATAAAAACAACACACTGTTATGCAGGGACATAGAAAACACTCAATGTGGGTTACTGAAAAAATAAGCTAGTATCATCCTTAACAGGTGACCAAAACTGCTGACCTTGGTAAAAGTAAAAGTTCAACTAACCCTTGATACCTCTATTACCAATCACTAAAGCAACAGAATAATCAAGAATCATTTTTAAACTAACATTAGAGTTTAAGAACAAATTCCTATAAAATACATTGAAGTGGATGTAATTAGTGAATATAGGAATTTAAAATGTCCTGTGGAATATAGAATTCAATTTGTGATAAATCAATCAGATTTATATTTTTGGTTTGGTTTTTGAAAACATATTAATTTCTCATATTATTTATGTTTATTTTCTTAATCGAATTTGTTTTAGCAGAGAAATGATTGGTTATGAATCTACGATTTTGTCTCTCTCTCTGTATATATATTTCAATCAGCTATAGAATAATATTTTAAAGTATATAAAATACAAATTTTCTATCCAAGAAATAATTGAACAACATCTCAATTGTTTTCTAAACTCAGTAATATTTTTCTTACCCCATTAGTCTCTTAGTAGTCATGTTTTCTACTTCCTAGTTTTCAAAGGCTCTTTGTGAGAAACTTTCTTGTTTTCTTTAAAGTGGGTTGAATAGAGTTCAAAATACAGAAATCATTGCTGCATTCCACATATGTCACCTTCTCACATACCATAAATATGTAAAAATCAATAATAATTTTATATCTGATTGCTGGTTCAATGCCATTTTTGTAGGAAAGAATCTCTTTTTGTGAATTCTAATATTCTTCTATTTTCTCTTGGGAAAATTAGCCAGTAACTTTGCGGTCATTTGTCCTCAATCAGATAAATATTACTCAGGGTTCTTTAAAAGTAAATGGAATTGAGGATAGGATACAGAAACATATTCTACCTCAGTTCCTCTTCAATAATGTTAGACTTAACAAGGCAAGATTAATTTGCTAAAGTCATATGTTTATTTTTAAGACAATGAATGAATGACATTTTAATAAGTAATATTTATTATTTAGTACTAAATATACAAACTGGTTAATTTATTAATACAATATACAAATGTATAATGTTTTAAAAAATCAGGAAGTTATTATCTATAAGGAACGCCATACACTGACCATCACCAGAACACAGTCTGTGCCTCTCAGAGCATCTCTCAGAGCCAGCCCTGTGTATGCCCGCACAGACTTCTTGAAAAAACCAGCCTTGGCAAGTTATGCTGCAATGACAAGCTGTCTCTGAAATCTCAGTGGCTTGAGACCAAGCCGACAAAGCTTTATACACAGCTCATGCTATGTGTCCATCATAGGCCAGCAGGGCCCTCTGCTCCTCATAGACTCTCAGGGATCCAAGCTGCTGGCTGCTCCATCTGAGCTTGTGCTTAAGCAATCACTGAAGCAGGAGGGAGAAAGAGCCTAGTCCATCAAGCATTCAGCAGTGAAGATTCTTCCTAAACGTCACAAACATCACTCCCTCTCACACTTCATTAGCCAAGGCAAGCCCATGGCATCACCCAAGTTCATGTGGGCAGGGGAGTGTGATTCCTCCAAGTGCCAAGGGTAACCAGACATATTTGGTGGGCGGCACTCATGGCTATCACAACCCCCACGCACCTTGTCATCAAGGAAAGACATGAGAAGGCAGGGGTTTTAACAACTGGCCCAACAAATGCCCAAACTCCTTTCAATGACATTCATCCTATTCCTTTCTAACTCAGACCAAGGAGGTAGAGGGGTGAACAGAGTAAGAGTTACTCTTTTCTCTCATAGTATCGTCTACTTGTGAATGCACATATGCAGCTTAAAATGATCTTCTCCTCCTCTTGTGTTTCCACAATATTGCTAAATGTGAACTTGGCTAGCTTCAAAACTTCCCAGAAAAATTAGGAAAGGTTAGCACAGACTTGAGAAAATTAGATGAAAATGTGTGGTCTCTAACATTTATTTAGATTCTATGCCAAATGTTATTCTTCGTGGCTTGTAGGTATCATGTCATCTACTCTTCATAGCAACTGTGTGAAGTATGTAAAATCTATGACCATCCCCATGCTTTGAATGAGGAATGTTAAGAATATTACAGAACTCATCAGTGAAAGAGGATGCAATCTGTCCCAGCTGTGGACTCAGTAGTCCACATTCCCAAGCAATACATGGCAGTGAATAACATTGGTAAAATGTTTTATTATAAATGCCATTTGAACTTGTGTATTTACATCGGTGCCAGGTTACAACAGTAATTCTGAGAAGAGGGTTCCGAAACAGCATTTCAGCACATTCCCCAATTAAAAAAAAATAGACCTGGCTTTTAACTTTGTTGGATTCCTTTTATAAATCAAATGGCGGGATATGTAAAGAGCATTTCTGGAGCTGCTCTATAATTATAGACTTTAAAATATTACCAAAAATGAATAAGACTGGAGTTTATGAGGAGTGTATTGAGAACATGACAATATTCACAGCTGCTGCATTTTATAACTGTGGAATGATGCTCAGGGAGGCCACGTAAATGTCGCCCCCTGGAGTTGTGCAGTGCACAGTGTGTGTGATCATATGCTTTCTATGGGAAATCTGCTGTCACCTGAATTCCTATTCCAAGATGTCATGTCTTGACAGGGAGTCCTATTTGGGTTTTGGTTTTCCAAATACCAGTGAAGAATTTAATACCTTAAATTCTTCTCCAAACTGATAGTAGAGAACATTTTCACAGTGATATGATAAGCATTACAAAACCCAGTCTTAAATAAGCACATCTTATGTTGTCATTCCTTTTGCTAGAATAGTCAGTGTCTGGGTCTGCATGTGTAAATTGTATTAAATGAACTGGGAATCTGCAAAAACAGTTAAATTTAAGGAACAATGCTTACTTGAGTAGAGAACAACAGCTATTCAACTTTACTATTTTAAGACTTTGGAGCAGTCTTATGTTACATTGTAGACTTTGCATGTTTATTGCTATCTATGGGGGAAAATCATAATTATTTTCCTACAAGAAAGAAACACCACTTCAGTCCATCACCTTCAACGGCTTCCTATCCCAATCTCCAGAAAACTGCTGGTTTATACCTCTCCTTGCACAGGACCCCATTACAGGCTCCGCAGGATCTCTCCACGACTGCTATTGCGTCTTAATTTTGTTTAATCATTTTTTTCAGTCCCTCAACCCGCTCTAGTGTCAGCAAGCTGCTGTTGCTCTTGAGAAGTCCTTTGTTACAAAATCCCGTGGCACGGCTTTCTACAGAGAATTGCCCCCTTTGAAGATTTGCCCCAGTGGTCGTCGTGTTAGCTGCTTCGGTGAAGAAATAAAAAGGCATGCCTTAGGTAAGAATTTTTGCAATGCTTTCAAACGGTATTTGTACACTTTAGTAGTCATCACAGACTCTCTGCTGACCTAAGAGATTTGCAGCTTTATAAAGGCCGTGGCAGATGCTAAGAATATTCGTCAATCCTTTTCTTCTTTTGAAATGAGCCCAGAAACGAATGACTTGTGGCAAATATTGATTTCTTTTCCCGAAGATCAACTATTACTTATGAAAGGACACCTAGACATGAATTCGAAAGGTTTACATTGTCAAACCAGGGAAGGAGGCAGAGAAGGAAGATTGTATCCCTACCTCGGAACGCAGGGGCTAAGGAGCAAGCCAGAAACGTAAAGCCCGTGGCATTTCCTATGAGAGTCTTCTCTGGAAGCCAAAGGTAAATAAATGAAGCAATTTAGGGCTGTGCCTCTCAAACTTAAACCTTAGGTGCATATGAATCACCGAGGATCTTGTTAAAATGCAGATTCTGACTCACTGGGTCTGAGTTGGGACCTGGGATTCTGCATTTCTGACCCGCCTTCTGACTGATGCTGATTCTGTTGGTCCAGAGCCCATACTTTGAGTATCAAAGGTTTAGGCCATTTGCTAGGCACAACTGACCATAGTGTCCTAAACAACAAACATCTGAGTTCTTTACAGAAAAAAAGGCAAAAGCAGGCACTGTTGCTGCATCTGCACGGCCTGCCTCAGAGAATAAAGCAGCATGAGGAGCCCCCCAGCGGCACTCTCGGCCCATAAAAAGCATACATCCACATGGAAAAAGGATTGAGGGAGGCAAGGGGTTGGTGCAATGAGCTCAGCAATCCCTCTGCTGAGTGATGGGGCACTGAGTCTGGTTTTCACATTACCAGCCTCAGTGATGTGGAACAGAGGATTACAAAAGGATAAGCTAAATGGCAATTGCAAGTGTATTGTTGTGGTCACCAGCACCTTTTCATCAATATTTTCCATTTCTCCAAAGCCATATGGAACAGTTAATCTATTTAGGTGATTTCTTAAGAGAAAATGAACAATGCACATTCCCAAGCGACAAGTGTAGGGAAAGCTAAAAATGATATTTTCTTTTATCCCAAAGCCTCCAAAATGTTCTCAAATCTTACTATTACCATAAAAATAAATGACAAAAGGGATGTGGTTCAGTTAGAAATCATTCTGCTATTGGCCATGTAGAGACACTTAAAATAAAACACACTGCCTTCTAGGCTTCAGCACCCTCTAGCCTTCAGTGTTAGGATAAAAGTCCAATATGAAAGCTTCTAATGATCTATGATTTGACAAGCTGGCTGTTTTAATAGAGATCGTGGCCAAAGAGTTAGAAAAAGAGGGATTTCAGATCCAAGACTAAAAATAGTAGATTTATGCTTAGATGGGTTTGGTCCTTTAGAGAATGCTCCATTGATCTCACTGAAATTCTTCCAGGTGAGTTACTTGCTCCGTCCAGGAGCAGTTGCCATCTAAAAAATAATAAGGCATTTCTAAGCTAACAGTTCTCTCTAGCTGAGTCAGAGACTGACCAAATTTACAAAGAAATATTTTTCACTGACTTTCCAAAGACATATATCAATATTATAAGTAAAAATGTGAAAGAAATTAAACACAAATGTTTAAGAGCCAAGAATAATTGCACCAAATCTACAATGGTAGGGGTTTGGGTTGGACCCTCATTAGAAAGCAATGACCAATCAAAACCTGGCCTCATGTATAATATGACTCCCCATGCAAGGTCAATCTAAGGGCAACCTTAGGAGGTGGCCACCTATAGGAAATGAAAGGGTTCTGGGGACTCTCCCTCTGTCCCAGTCCCAAAATACCTTTTGCCTAAAATTCCAAATTAGACACCCTATTCCTATTAATCCATCCATGGGAAGTAGCACATTAAATTGTTTTTGGTTCCTTGGTTTATTTGCATTGATTGGATTATTAGAACCTCTTCTCATTATCCAGCCATGAATAGACTTTGTTTTCATAAAGGGAGTAAGAGGAAGAGCACAGGAAAGGATAGGTCCAGAGCCAACTCAAGGCTGATATAGCCAAGTCGTGGAGGAGTGATGATAAGGGTATTTGGATATCTGGTGCCTGAATACTGAGCTGGGCCTTTGCCAAGGGCAAACTTCATGTTCTTTATATTTTTGCCTACCATGGGATGGAAGCAATCACAGAATGACAGGCCAAAGCTGGTGCTGCACACCTCAAGCTCAACGTACATGGAAACCAAAGAGTGGCTCTTTTCAATTAGAAACATAAAATGACTGATGTTAACCGACAAAATTTGGTAAGAGAACCTAACTGAATGTTGCTCACCTTATCTGTAGTCAAGGTATTCATAACAGACAGGAAACAAAGTTCCTAACACCCAGGATCACTTATACACACTTAAGAAACATGTTTTCCCCTCCGGCAGGAGAGCACTTCTGGTATTAAACAGCTGTTTTCACCTCCCCCTTAAAAATGGCTGTGATTCACCCGAGTTCAAGTTATCTTCTCAAAACCTGTCAGGAGTTGCTTGAGGCTGAAAAGCATGCATGTTGCTTTTTATGTAAATAGGAAAGTAGCAGTGTAGCGGAATGGGTGCCGCAGGTAAGGCTGTCACACGAAAATGACTTTAAACGGATGCCGGACACAACTTCTCCTGGTCTTCTGAGACTCTTTTTCTGTTTAACCACCTTGTTCCCCCCTCAGGTGTCCTTGGTGCAACTCTGAACACCCTGAGAATGCTTTTCAAACCAAATATGTTTCCACAAGTGTGGAATGGATGCTCTGTGACATAAAGAGATGAGCTTGAAAGAAAAGATGAAATTTGCACATGTTCCTTTGCAACCAGGACTTTCTAGTGAATTGCTTGATTCAGAAGATAATTCTCCCTGTTTGTCAGTGTTTGAAGCAATGTACTCAAGCAGCGAATGGGTCTGCTTCTGGCCATGATGCCGTCTTTGGGATGCAACCCTTGTCGAGTGGGGGTCAGATTGAACTTTGCTTCTCAACTGCCCTTGATCTTGCTTCATACTGGTTTGTTCTTCCAGAAAGAGAAGAGGCATAAGGCTTAGGCAGCCCAGCACAAATCAAAGGGAAAGAGAAATAGATTTTTATTTTTCTTCAGGTAACTGACTAACTGAAGTGTCTCCAAGGCTTTAGAATCATTTATTCACATATTACATATTCATACACACAAGTGTGCACAATCACATATCACCTTGAGACTTCCTAGGCATAGGAGATAAAAGAGTAAGCAAGACAAAGCCTCTGCCCTTGGGAAACTTACACAATAAAGAAACCAAAAAATCCTGCATACGTGCAACGCAATGTTGTGTAGTAATAAGTACAGTGAGTTAAAATAAACCTGGATAATGGCACTGAGGTGAAGAGGGAGTGTGTACCCACAGGAAACTCATCTGAGAAGGCAATATCAGAACGAAGACTTGTATAACCTGGGGGAGGCGGTCCTTACAGATATCTAGGGGCAGAGCTTTCCAAGAAGAAGGAATAATTTGTTAAAAGGCCCTGAGGTGGGCAGCAAGCTCAGTATTTTTGATGACCATGAAGAGCCAGTGTGATATTACTGAGAGTGGCGGGAGATGAGACTGTGTGTACATGAGAGGGCGGATCAAACGGAACCTTGAAGACCATAGTAAGGAGCTGGGTCTTTATTCTGATTGAATAAATCCACTGGAGGATTCTGAGCAGAAAAGGGACTTACGTGACCTGACTTACATTTTAATCAGATAAGTCTGGAGCTCTTGACTTGGGAGTGGGCAAGATTAGAAGCAGAGAAACCAGTTAGGAGTCTAAATGGGGCTCTTGAACTAGGAAAACAGTGGTGAACATGGTGAAAGTGATTAAATGCTAGACATATTTTGAGGTTGGAGATGACGATTTTCTGATATATTAAATGTGAGGTTTGTGGGCTAGAGAGGCATCAAGGATAACTCCCAGGTTTTGACTTGAACCTCTTAGTGAATGGTGGTGCTGTTTACTAAAATTACAGGAAGAAACAGTTGGGGAAAAGAGAATCAAGAGTTCTATTTTGAAGATGTTAAGTCTGAAAATACTTTTTAGACATCCAAGTGGAGATGTTAAGAAGGGAGGTAGACATATAAGTCTGGAGCCCAGAGAAAAGCAAAAGGCTAAAGATATAAATTCAGAACCATCTAGACACAGATGATATTTAAAGCCATGATAGTGAATGAAATCATCTAGGGAGAGAGCATAGAAAAAGTAGAAAAAACAACAAGGAGATTGAGCCCGGGAGCACCCCCAAAATCTTTAGGCTAGGGAGAGAAGGAGCCAGCAAAGAAGAATGGGAAGTCATAGCCATTACATAGGAAGAAAACAAGGGAAGGATAGAGTTACCCAAGCCAAGTAAAAAAAGTGCTTCCAGAGGGCAGAAGTGAACAACTGGGTCAAGTACTACTGATCAGTCAAGTAAGACCAAGATTGAGAAATGCGCATAGGATCCGGCAAGATAGGAATCATTGGAGGCTCCACAAGAAGAGTTTCAGTAGAGTATTGGGTATGAAAGCCTAAGTGAAATGAACCAAGGAATGAATATAAAACATAAAACCCCTGTTTCAAGAACAGAGAATATCTGAAAGAGGGTATGAAATCTGGGTTAGAGTGGGTGATTTTATCAAGGGAGATTTTGGAATATCTTGGAATGCTGGTAGGAATTATTGTATAGAGAAGGAGAAAATGATGCCGGAGAAAGAACATTGCAAGAGCAAAGTTCTTCAACAGGCATGAAGGGATGGGATCCAGAGCATGAGTGTATAGTTGGGCTTTGAAAGAAACAGGACTGTTCATTTCATTGTAACAAAAGGGAAGGCTGAGTGTATGGACTCAGGGAAAGGTGGATTTGTGATGGTGGGAACTGGCTGTTCTTTTGTATTTGTCTTTATTCTCTCAGTGAAATAACAGACAAGATCATCAGCTGAAAGTAAAGGGAAAGGGCCTCAGATGCTAAGGGAGCGAGAGAAGCTACGAAAGTGTCTCAGAGGTGGAGTGAGTCGACCAGAGGACCTAACAGCTGTCCAGGCAGTGCACGAGCCCACTTGAGATTTGTGGTCACAAGTTCAATGCCTCTCTGCCTCCCATTGCTTCACCAGTGTTGCTGGATGGGAAATTTGAATAGTATTTTTATATTCTAAGTGGGAATTTTTTTCTATTTTAACCTTAAGAGAATAAAACTAAATAAAATAAAAATCATGTTTTAATAGGCCAAAATACAGGAGTGGAAGAATGTTTAAAACCAAACTTTCCAAACTAACTTTAAAATCACCATGATCTTTATTCTCATTTTCCTCTATACATAAATTGTCCCCATTTAAGCCTAGAAGTTCATTTTCTTTGATTCAAAGAGCACTGTACCATCGGGAGACCTACTTTTAATCTCTGCCATTAGAAAATTGTGTGATCCTAAGCCATTATTTAATCTCACTGTAAAAGAGATAGGAGGTTCCCACCCCAATATCCTTTCTTCCCTCTTAGTCAGTAACAGGACTGTTGATTCTTAGTCGAGTAGATGACTCCTAGAATTAAGACTAATTTTCTCAACTTCCTTTGCAGCTATGTGTGGCCATGGAATTAAGTTTGAGCAAAATGTAAAGAAAAGTTTTATGAAGCAGTTTCTACGAAACTTCCTTTAGAAACGTGTCATGTATTCCTTATCTGCTTTTTAATCCCTTCCTCCATGTTAGGTAGAGTTCCAATCATTGTCTCGAACATCCTAAGAAAGGCGAAGCAGTGAGCTAGAGAGAGCCTGAGTCCCTGACAATTTTGTAGAGTGCCCACAGCCCCGGAATACAAAGTTCTAGCACTCAACAATTTAAGAGAGAACTATATCACTATTGTGCCAAGTCGACTTGATCATGACTGATAGACTCCTTAAGTCTCAGTTTTCTCTCCTTTAAACTAAAACTATTGTCAAGTTTCCTGTGCAAATGTATAATTCTCAATTGCAATGCCATCTCTCTGTTCTAGAGGTCAAAGTAGTAGAATTTTCAATAGCTAGAATCCAAAACTTCTGGCTCCAACCCCTTAGTTTAATGCCATCCTGAAATCTGATGTATTGCTAAGGGGGTTGTTACCCAAAGTTTTAACACCTCTCTTCACACTTATATTTCCACAGAGGTGGGCATTTATGTTTGGTCTCTCTGGTTCAACAGAGTTCTGACACCAAGCTTAGTGTGGTACGTGGAGCAAAGAAGTTGCTGAATACTTTCTATGAGCCACTGGAACACTCACCCCACCCCACAACGATTCTGCTAGCTCGAGCAATCTATTGTTCTACGCAGAAAACAAGAAGTGAAAATGGTAACTCTTGTGAAAAGTTACTCCTTAAATTATGCTTTTCCTTTTTTTTCTATTCTGAATGAAATGAATGGTGTCTGCCCATAGAATTTATTGATTAACCTGGGGCACCTTTATTTCCATTTCTAAAGTGCTACCACAAAAAAGATGGAAGGAAATATGCCAGACAAAAACAATTGTTTGAAACAAGTTTTGTGGGAACCATGTCTTTAGGAAATGAGATGTTGAACTTATTTTGGCAATTTGTAAGTAACTTTTCAAAATTTTTTTCCACACTCCATTATTATTAAACTGGAGTAGAACTCTTTCCCTTGAGCTATCATTTACTAAAAATCTCCCTGGAATTTCAGGCAATTTAGGGAAATGTAACTTGCAGGAGAAAAAAAAACATAAAATGTAATGTTTTAACAAAATTCTTCTTTTGAAGAAGCAGTTGAGCCTTCCGCTCTCTTCAAATAGCATGGAGGCAACAGGAACTGCTGTAAAAGCCAGCAGTGGAAGTCTGCCTCTGTATTTTCTTTTGATCTCTCTCTGGATTTAATGCCCTCGTGAAGCTCGAATGGAATATATGCATGTCACAGCATGGCAGAGGGATAATATATTTCCCGCTGCTTCGCTGAGCATGAGTTGTGTATCTTGCCATCTTGAGAGACCACAGTGCGGTACATTTATCCCCATTAGAAAAGCTCACTCCAATAATATATGGATGCTGCAGCCATTTATGACAAATATGTGAAATCATAACCTTATACATTCTGGAGATGAAGTGCATATACATGGAATCTATTAACCATGCATTGACAGATCTTTGTTAAAACTTGATTTTCAAGTCCAAAGAATAAGAGGGCAAATGTATTGATTATATTTGTATATATATGTAGCCTCAAAAGGCTATAACTTTAATTTGAAGACAGAAAAAAAGAACAATGCTTCCCACTTGGGCCATATATGAATTCACTTTGCCCATCCTGAGCAAAAAGCTATTCGGAGCAGAGTGTATACTTGTACGTACTGTTTGATTAACTTGTGATAATATATTCAGCTCTTTCTAATCTCAATTTAGGGCCAAAGATCACAGCCATGAAAGAGTACATTTTTAAAACTGACCTCAAAATGAGAAAATATTTATGGTTCAAAACCCAACATTTAGGGGCTGGCCCCGTGGCCGAGTGGTTAAGTTCGTGCAGTCTGCTTCGGTGGCCCAGGGTTTTGCAGGTTCGGATCCTGGGCACCGACATGGAACCACTCATCAGGCCACATTGAGGCAGCGTCCCACATGCCACAACTAGAAGGACTCACAACTAGAATATGCAACTATGTACGGGGGGATTTGGGGAGAAAAAGAAAAAAAACAAAAAGAAGAAGAAGAAGAAGATTGGCAACAGTTGTTAGCTCAGGTGCCAATCTTTAAAAAAAAAAAAACCACCATCATTTGTTAGCATATAACCTTGGGCAAGTTAACTAAACCCGTCTCAGTTTACTCACCTATAAAATAGGAATAATATTAATACCTTTCAGAATTGTATGTAAAGTGCTTAGCACACCATCAGCACTCAGTAAATGTTGGCTGTCTTTACCGTACTGATTGTCTTCACCAGTAGGTCAGTAGGAAGGACTGAGCATAATATGTGAAATGCTGAGAACCACACAAAGGCCTGACAAACCCAAAAAAGTCTGGGTTCTGGAATCACAAGCTCTAAAATTTAAATCTGTGTCTACACCTAATTAGTACACAGAAAAACACCTTTCAGCAATAGCCAAGAGAATACTGGCCAGGGGGCACTTGAAGAGAGCAATAGGGTTAGTTTTCTCTCCTCTGTAACCCAAGGTTACAGCATTTGCATCTTTCTAATCTCAGGTTTAGCATTTCTTGGAACAAACTGTGTGAAGATCTGTCAATTATTTGATTTTCCACATTGATAAGGCTATAAATTCACTACTCAGATTCTTTGGTTTTGAGGACGAAATCCATGGCATTGAAAAATAATGTTTTACACCATTTTCCATAAAGTTAAGGATTCAGATACATTACCAGTGTTAAAATCTCATAGATATTCTTAATATACCTGTGTCTCCAATTAATGCAGCACAGTCATTAATATACTATATTATGTTATGAAGTCATAATAGCAGCCAAGCAGAATATAATTATCGTCTATCAGCTTTCATGTTTTACAAAAGCAAAATTATTTTTCTTTTGTTTTAGAAGTTCCCCAGAACAAATAATAGTTTTACATTGGCAACCCTTTCATTTCCTGACCCAACTGCCACATGTCTCTATAAAGCTGTCATACATTCTTCTGGCTCAACTCACATGTAGCTGTTTCAATTTTAAAATCTAATCCAAGGGCAAATCCTCCTGATTCTATTGTGAACACCTGGTCCGAACAACAGAGAAAAATATTGAGTCTCTTTCAAATCTATCTCCGCGTGAAAACAAGTGATTTTACACACGGCTCAGATCAGACCTATAAAAAATTTATTGCAATTAATTTATGTCAGCAAACCTATAACAAACATCCACTCACACGTGCATTGTTGGGCACTACGCTCTTGGAGGTCCAGAGCCCTTGCCTTCAGGCAGCTCAGACATTATTGGAGAACAAAACAAGTAGGGGTACAAATATCTATAATGCAAGGTAGAATAAGGCTTGAAAGAAAGATAAAAATAATTATAAGACTCAGAGAAGGATAGCCCAAAGTCATCTAATTAGATAGATGGAGATCATTGAAAGGATGCAAAGTGAGGTTGGGAGAACTTCATCTAACAGAGATGGGGCTGGAGATTCCTGGCAGAGGGAACAGCATTATCAAAGACCCTAATGCAGGAAAGCACATGGTGTTGGAATCCACAAGTCGTCCTACTTGCTTGAGTCAAGAATAATCTCTGTAATGGACTTCTGTTGTTTCTGCTACCCAAGATACAGTTTAATATTTTAACAAATACATGAAGCCGTGTGATCACCACAATCAAAATATAGAATATTTCCATCACCCCAAAATTCTAGCTCATGCCCATTTACAGTCACTCACTCCCAGCCTCTGGCCCCAGGCAACCATGGAACTGCTTTCTGTCACTATCGATTGGTTTTGCCCATTCTAAAATGTTATATAAATGTGATCATACAGGATGTATGCTCCGTGTCTGGCTTCTTTCTCTCAGAATAATGTTTCTGAGATTCATCCATTCTGTCAGGTATGTAAGTAGCTTGTGTCTTTTTATTCCTGAGGAATATTTCATTATAAGGATGTGCTACAATTTGTTTATTCATTTTCCTACTGAGGGACATTTGGGTTATTTGAGGATTTTTTTTTTTAAAGATTTTATTTTATTTTTTCTCCTTTTTCTCCCCAAAGCCCCCCAGTACACAGTTGTATATTCTTCGTTGTGGGTCCTTGTAGTTGTGGCATGTGGGACGCTGCCTCAGCGTGGTCTGATGAGCAGTGCCATGTCCGCGCCCAGGATTTGAACTGACGAAACACTGGGCCACCTGCGGCGGAGCGCGCGAACTTAACCACTCGGCCACGGGGCCAGCCCCTGAGGATTTTTGCTATTATGAATAAATCTGCTAGGAAAATGTACATACAAATCTTTGTGGGGACATATACTTTCATTTCTCTTTGGTGACTATCTAGGAGTGGAATGGCTGGTTCTTAGGGAAAGGATATGTTTAATCCTATAAAGAACTGCCAAGCTGTTTTCCAAAATGGCTGTACCATTTTGTATTCCCACCAGCAGTGTATGAGGGTTCCAGTTGCTCCACTTCCTTGCCAGCCAGCAGTTAGTATTTGAGTCTTTTTGGACTTAGCCATTCAAGTGGGTACAGAGAGGTATCCCACTGTGATTTCGATTTGCATTTTCCTCATGTCTAATAATGTTGAGCATCTTTTCATGTATTATTGGCCATTCTTATATCTTCTTTCATGAAATATCTGTAAGCTATTTGTCTATTGGGTTGGCTTCTTATACTCTTCAAAAAGGAAATCTTTTGACCTTTCTGGTTTGTCCCATGTGATCCACTCTGCATTGGATGACCTTCTTCTCTGTCTCTATCTGAGAGACTTTTTTAAAGTCTGGCTCATAGGTCCCCTTCTCCATGCAGGTTTTCCCCCTTCTCCAATCACTCCTTTCTCTGTGTTTTCACAGGACCTTGTTCCCACATTCCTCTACAGTGGCACTTACCATATCACGTCCTAATTCAGAGTTACATATCTCTATCCGCCCCTAAACTTAGAGCTCCTTAAGAGTACAGGGTGAGTATTTTTCTTCTTTGAATCTGCCTGTGGCTAAATATGGTACCTACCATATTTAAGTACTCAGGCTCACTTAAATGTGATTTTAGATATATTACAGAAGGAATAGTAACCTATTGAGACTAAATCCATGGAGGGGTAAGGGTAGGTTCAGGATACTGGGAGAGTTACTTATTCATTCATTCACTTAACAAATATTTCTTGAGCTCCTACTATGTAGCAGGCACCTTAGATGCTAGGATGCAGAGATAAACTATCTAAACAGAATCTCTGTCCTTGTGGAACTTAGCCTACAGCAAAGGAGACAGATCCATTAACTGAAAGTTAAAATACAATGTGACAAGTCCATGATGAGGGAAACCTAGGATGCTAAGGGAGCTCAGACCAGAATCCCTAACTCAGGCTTTGAAATCAGAGGAGAGTTTCTGAAGAAGTGAGATCTAAACTGAAACACAAAGGATGTGTCAAAGTGGCCCAAGTCAAGAGATAGAGGAACAGTAGTTCATGCAAAGTCCCAGAGATAAGAAAGAATGAAGCTCTTTCAGGGTACTACAATAAGTGGGCAGAGCTGAAGAACTAGTTATTGACTATAGGAAATGACTGCAGAGGAATGACAAATCTAAGAAAAAGTTTTTTACAAATTTTACTTTTGTTGTGTAAGAGGATCAATCATTTTTCCCCCAAAATCCCGCCTCTAACATTTACTTTTTGTGTGATCTTGAGAAAGTGGAACTTTCCTGTATCAGTTTCCTCATCTGTATCACGGAAATAATAACTTCATAAAGTTAATGTGAAATATGAGCTAAGGCAGGTGAAATGCCACGTCAGAGATGAAATAGATGTTCACCAAATGTTTTACTCCTCCTGGGCACAATTACAGCACATTTTGCAACAACGCTAGACGGGCCATGTAACTAGTTACCAACAATAAAATGTGAGCCCAAGGGTTGTGTGAGTTCTGGACTAAGGCAGTTAAGAGCATGTGTGTCTTTCTCATGATCTCTGCTTTCTTTTAGGGTAACTTTGGAGTCCACGTGTTGAACATTCCCTGGGAAGAAACCTGAGTCTCTGAATGACTCCATGGAGCAGAGCCCTTTCACACCACCACACACCTACTCTCTGCTCACCTGTTGGTCTGTGAAATGCAGCAGCAAAAGACCATAATGTGTTCAGACACCAAGGATTTGGGGTTGTTTGTTACAGAAGATATCCTATCCTGATTTATTCAAACATTTAGCCCACAGTAATGTTTATTAAATAGTAAGTACTCGATAAATGTTAGCTGAGGATGCTGTTAACTTATTAATTAACAATATTAACAATATTAGTAGTTAATAATATTAACATTAATTATTATTTGTTGTTTTGTTATTATTATTACATGAGACAATATGGCTCAGTAGTTCTAGCTCAAGCTCTAGAATCAGGCAAAATTGGATCTGACTCTTGACTCCACATTGACCAACTTTGTTTGCCAGTTCCTTAGTGTCCTGTGCCTTACTTCACTCATCTATAAAATACACATAATAACAGTGCCTTCCTCAGAAGCTCACTGTGAGCATTGAATGAGATAAGGCACGTGAACCTTTTGGCACACTCGTACACAGTAAGTGCTCAGTAAGTGGAGGCTGCCGTTACTGCACGAAGGGCATGATCTGCTCACCACAAGACAACAGTCAATCCATCAAGAGGCAAGATGGTGGCAGAGAAAGGGCATTTTATTAAGTGATGAGCTAGCTGATTGGAAGATGATGGACTAGCATCCTAAAGAACCATCTTAAAGGGGCACAGTATCTTGAAGCCATTATATAGGGCTAGTGGGCTCTAGAGGAGGGGATCAGGAACATTGACACTCTGTTGTTGCAGACCGGGTTTCTCCCGGAGGGTACATATCCAACTGGGTTAGTTAATCAGACGTCATTCAAAGTTACAATATGGCTTCTTTTCTATAATAGGACTTCCCTGATGCCAGCTTTGTATCACTATTAATAATATCATCTTAGAGTAGAATCTGATATTGGGGAAGTTTGAAGATTTGCCGCTGTATAATTTTTGGAGAAACCTCCAGGGAAGTATATCTCCCTTGTGTTTTAACATCTCATCCAGAAAGTTCAGCATTTCTTCCTTGCTGCTCCAGGACCTGTGCAAGAATGGACTGGTCACTTTGGCAACCTGGAAACTGTACTTCATGCAAGCACCCCAGGAATGTTTGTTACTCCGAATGTGTATCCATAATATTGTCAGGTCAGTAATTACTCCAACTGACAAAGATAATAATGTGTTAACAGATCAGGCCTCTAGCGCTCATAAATTATTCTTTCTCTCCTTTCTCAGGGAGTATCTTAGGGATCCAGGGGATTTGAGTTGTTATTGGCCTCAGAGGTTTTCTGATGGCTGGTTCTCTCACTGCTAATGCTCCTGGCATGCTCCATTTTCCCAGCACCACAAGTTGCAATCAATTTGTGCTGCCAGTTGACATCTTTTAATATTTGTTGCTCTCTTTCTGCCTAGCACTTGTGGCTCCATCTTGACATGAAGCTGTTTCTGTTATTGCCATTACTAACTAAATAGCCCTTGGACTCTAGCTGGGAAACAGTGCCATAAATTGCTTAGAGTTATCCTATTTCCTGCAAACAAAAATCCCAGCAGCTTCAGGCCCATTTTTACTTTATTATTTATATGGCCAGGCCATTTGTTGCAAGATACTGCCTCTCTCTGGGTTGCAGTAGGCAAATTATTCCATTTTCTATTGTAAGTGGTGCAACTCCTGATTCAGCAGCCTCGACAGGAGGCGTACTTGGGATGGAAGTATTTGCACATTTGTTTCTGAGAGCAGGAAATCATTATCTGTACCCTGTTCTTCTTTGGCACTTAAAACAGAGTGGGATTGAAGAGATGGATTTTCATATCTCTTCAGCCATTGGGTCAAGTTATTGCTGGAGAGAGAAAGATGGAGAGAGAGAGAGCTTGGACAGCACAAATTCATTTTAATGGTCTATTGGTTCCACTTAGCGAAGGCCTATTAATTGCATAACATGCATCTGTATCTGTGTCTTTCAAATAACATTTCTAACCACCTGGGGAATTGCTAAGAAGGCACAGAGGGATATATAAAGAATGGGTGAAATCAGGCAATTACGATCAAGGATGGAGAAAGGTTTGAAGGGAGAAAAGGGAAAGATGCTCCTGCTTCAAAGATGTAGGATTTTTCTATAGAAAAAAATCTGTTTAATTATGAGGTCTTTCTTTTGTAAATTGCTACAAAGGTAACACAGGCTGAGGGAGGTAAATTGATCAGTGAAGGGATCAGGCGTATTGTGAAAAGTAGGAGAGCTAAGAGATTTCTGATTGACTGAAAAAAACCTTTTTTTTATTTTGATAAACACTGTAAAATTATATTTTTAATTCCCCTTTATTATTTCCCCATGAAATTCCATTTTCATGAAATCTGTGAGTTAATAACTACTTGGTATGTTTTTGACCCTACCTAGTATCTTGTGCCCACTGAGGGACCCCAAAGTGCGTCACCGAGGAAGAGGAAGCATCTTGATCCCCCTATGGGAAGAACCGTCAACTAGTGGGATACTTGTCATTTCCTGACAGTACCTTTCATCTAGCATTTATCACAGAGTGCTGTCTCACTTAAGAGACCATAAACTATTAGGGGACAAGGGAATTTCTTTAAGTATACTGTTGTGACTATCTCACCTTAGGAAAAAGAAAAAATTAGTACCTTAAAAAATGTGAAAATATTTAGATTTGTTATCTATTTATTTGAAAGAAGGAAATGAGTAACAACAGATCCTTTCTCTTTTTACTTGAGAGTTAACAAACACAAAGCATCCAACAAGAGGTGCCCCTGCTTCTAGAACATTCTCTGATGGAAGGAATAAGCCAGTTAGGAGTGAGCCCCCTTCTGATGTGGCCTCCTTAGGAGAGGTGGATTAGCAAGGATCAGGTTCTCACCTCTGATGCCAGGGGAACCTGGAAATCATTGTAAGAGGCCTGGAAACTGGTCTCTGGCTGTAGCACACACTTTGCTTCTCTGAAAATCAATTCAACTCCTTGGCTTTTGAATAGGAGCCCAGCAATAGACAAGACGCAGTCCAGGAGGCATGACTGATATGGTGCCCAGTGCTAGGCTGTCTCAGCCCAGAGAAGGGCACCTGGACAGTGAACTTATCTTGGGCCTCCAGGTGGCTGTTAAAGGGATAATTGATTGGTACCTCTACTTTAATCTTGGTCCACTACATGCCCCAAAAATGAGCCTCTACTGTAAAAGTCAAAGTACTAAAAGAAGTAACTAATTTTATTTTCTCTCCTAACAGGTAGGGCATTACAATGAGCTATTTCTCTGCTCAGATTGGCCTTCTAATGAGTCTAGAACTAGACCTAGGAGTTAAACTGTGAGAATCCCAGGGAGGAAAAATGGTACTGTCTTGAGCTCCATCAAAAGCAATTAGGAACAGCAAAAATCTGTGACGTTCAGGGTACCAGCAGTAGTGCACAAGACTTAAAATTTAGACTAGGTTTTGTTAAAGGTATCATATAGAGACTTCCAAGTGTCTCCTTTAGCCTACACTACAAAGATTTTGATTAAGCCTAAATGCACTATCAGCCACATAGCACCTCTCTTAGACTACAATGTAATTTTAGACCACTGATAAAATAGTCATATATGACTTTATCATCCCTACACTACCAAGCTGAGTATCTTCTGGTTGGCAATTCAGAAGCACCTGTTAAATAAAATAAAATGGAATGGAATAGACTTCTTAAAGAGACTAGAAATTCAACAGTTTAGTGTATTTCCCCCCATATAACCCTGCTTTGTGTGACCTTGTTACAAAGGAACGGTGTACTTAATCAGAAAAGAAATATGCTTTGTACTCCATCTACTGCAGGGGCGATAAAAATTGTCACGTTTAAGAAACAACTTTTCAAAGGCGGGTTGGCTCTGCTTATACGCAAGACTAAATGGGGAATCACAGCCAAGTCATATAGCACCATTGATTGAACAAATATTTTTCATGGGTACTAAAGAAGCATGCTGGATGGTAGGCCAGCTTAAACAAATCTTATAAGATATAAATGACTAGGTTTTAACTTCTTCTCACTTGGACCCATTACTGATGAGATAGTTTACGTATGTTGTCTGCTTGTTCTTAACATACGAAAATGGACATGAAAGAAAGAATAGTCTTCTACAACCCTGCTCTCAAAATCTCAGATTGCTTTGGTCACTGACTAGAGGGATCCACCCCCAATTGGCTAAAGGGCACGGAAAAAGAAAAGAACGAATGCTGTTTAAATATAAAGTAGTGTCCAAAAAAATCTTTACCAGGGAAAAGATAAACCCAAACAACGTGGGATGAAAAATATTGTGAAGGAATATTCCCAAATATTCCATAAGGAATTGCATCATTCACTATCACTTAACATATTAGGAAATGCAAGGTCAGCTCTACAACAGCTGAATCACGCTCCTAAGGGAGGGCTTTTCCACTTTTTCATGGTATGGAACACATAGTAAATAATAATAACAACTACAACAGCAAAGCTGCAAAGTACACTGTAGTAAATACTTCTTGTGGACGGGGATGACCTGCAGGGTTGAGATGCAAGGCCAAGAAGATGTGCCTCTCAAACACTGTCTCTTCTAGAAGAGTGATTGGCAAACTTTTTCTGTAAAGGGTCAGATAGTAAATATTTTATTTAGATTTCTGCTTAAATAGGTCTCTGTCTCAATTACTCAACTCTGATGGTGTAGCGCCAAAGCAGCCATAGATAATGCACAAATAAATGGGCATGGATGTCTTCAATAAAACTTGATTTGCAAAAATGGGAAGTGGTAAGATTTGGCCTATGGGCCATAGTTTACTGCCCTTTACTCTAGGAGGATGAGATAGGAACTGAATGAGTAGGCCCTGGGCCTCACTGCCCCCAACACACACACACACACACACACACACGCACACACTCTTCAACCAAGGAAGTTTTATTTTTATCTATTGTACATATTGAATTTCCATATGAGGTATTGTTTTAAAATAGTTTTACCATTGAAAAACAGATAAATAAAACTTTGAAAACTAGTTCAATAAATACTTATTATAAAAATATATATCTTTATTAAAATTATAGTATTATTTAACTAAATTTTACTACTTTTTTAAGAATGTAAGTCAAGATTTAAGAGAGAGTAAAACTTGAAGAAATACTAACACCTAGGCACAGGAAAGTATTTTACTCATTAAATTTAAAATGGCGTCTATTCTTCTTTTGCTAAGTCTAGATCCTTTTTAGTTTCAAAGGAAAATAAAGTTTGTTTCCTTGTTTTTGTACTATTTATGTACTTATGGAAAAATTCTAAGACCTTTGAGATGTTTATGAGCTCTGAATGAGTTGCTCATAACTTAAGCATGAAAAGAAGTTTCAAGGCATTTTATTTACTGTCCTAACTAATTGATAAATTTGGAAGCAAACCTTCCTGGGACACCTGAGTACAGGAAAAGTTTTTGGAAATTTAGGGTGTGAAGAATAGATAGATGACACTTTCAACTCATTTTTACCTACCATGCTTGAAAGAGCTTCTTTGCTAACCCCAGAGAAAGCTTCGTGCAGACTTTTTTCTCTGCCGTAGCTTGCTAGTAGCTTTCAAACTTAAGTTGTATAATATTTTATTAGGCATGCTTATTGAAAATGCAGAATCCAGAGCTTCTCATTAAGAAGATCTGAGGTTAGGCCCAGGGATCTGCATTTGTGACAAATATCCCAAGTTAGCGCACCACAATTTGAGAAACACCACTGTAGAGTGAAGTAATGGCATAAACTTAACTGATTGACAGCAGTAGGCTCTTACCATCCCAAAAGGTGGAGGAAAAGGGTAACAGTATATTTTTTAGACAAGTGTTCTCTTTATTGTGGTTTTTTTCAATGACATGTGTTTGCCCTAGGTGTCTGAAGAATATTTTAGTTTTTTTGTTGTTCCATTCACTGACGTTCACTCATGTCTACTCCTAAAGGAAATGTTTTTAAAGGGTACAGGAACACAACTACACACAGATATGATCTATATTTTAAAACAGCACTTGGTTTGAGACCTTCCTCAGATGTCTTTGGGGAGTTGAGTTCATATTCAGTTCTAAAAGTACCATCCCTCAGTAGACACCAGTGTTGCAGTCAGTCAAGTTGAAATCATTGCACAAGGATGTATTTTTAGCCAGTTCCACATTTCATTTAAATGGTTTAAAAGTTTCCTGTCTTTCTTTTCCATGAGAAGCAGCTGCTATAACTTATAAGAAAAAAAAAATGATCAGAGGAACTAGAAGTATTGATCTCTGATTAAAAATGTAAAAAAAAGGAAAACAAGAGAAAAAGAGCAAAGTATGTTTAGTATGCCAAGTGCAAGCACAGTAACAATCTGTAAACATTTAGAAAATGTAATAAACACTTCCTTAAGAAGGAGAGTCATCACTTGGTTGGGTCGAGTGTGCGAGGACAAAGAGAAATGGATCTTGATTTCCACTGTCAAATGCAAAGTTGCTGATTACATAGTTTCAGCCATTTTTGAAAAATTATTTTTGGCATATACAATTAGAGCTCTTAACTAGTCCAGGACTGCTGATGCGAATACAGTAAGAGTTTATTTACAATTAGGCCTCACATTCCCAAAGGTAAATACATTTTTAAAAATCTTTAGGAAACTTACTTCTGCAAAAAACTCTACTGTCCCTGCCACCAAGGATATCAACTTGGGATGGGTGAATCAAATAATAAACTTGCTGAGGAGCACAAATATTAGTAAAAAGTTTGCAACTCTCACAATTTCTGCTACCTTTTAAAAGCTTACAAGTTGTATGCTTTCCTTTCAGTAAGCCACATTTGCCAAGAAACCCAGGAAAACACTGAAGTTTGCCAGCCTGGAAGATAATTCACATCCCCAGAGTAAAAAATGCTACTTATCCGTTCTCATCTCCAGGCCGCATGCTATATCTGTATTCACGTTTCAATATTGATTCAAAATATCACTTACCTCTTTCATTGTGGTTTCCTCTCCAAGATTTATTTCCTCAGAAAGGTTGGTTCCTCACCATAGTTACATATTTCTGAGATTAAGTCTTTCTACCTTGCCCTGCTATTTTTTTCCTTGTTATTTTACCACATTATGTCTTATCAGTAAGAATTGACAGCCCCCTGGGAAAGAACTGGTTTGAAATGATGTGCACAGTAATCAGGTGCTTGTCTAAGGATATTTCCGTGCAATGGGAGTTCCTTCAGTGTGGTCTGCAGCCCAGGATCATCAGCATTACCCAGAGAAATAAAGCAATGCAGACTCTCAGGACCTATCCCAGACCTACAGAATCTAAATCTTCATCTTAACTAGATCTCAATGTGGTTCCTATTGTTGAAAGAACTTTCTAGGCCCAAGATGGAGCCACTCCTGCCCAGGGTGCCACGTCAGCAAACTGAAACTTAGATAACTTTAGTAACCCCCTCAATGTCAACTTAACTACAAACGCAGTACATTCCAGTCAGCCAATCCCCAAAAGCCAGGCCACCTCTGGGCTCTGTACTCACTTCCTCACTCCTTCTCACCCCAAGGCTGACTATGTGTCCTAGCCAATCAGATATTTTCTATTTTCCTCTTCCTTGTTGGTTATTCTTTATCCTTTAAAAGCTTCCTGCCTCCAACCCATCTTTCAGTTCTCCAAATGGAGACTATCTGCCTCACAAAATGTTAAATCAAGTTTGTTTGTGTCATCTAAATTGGCTTCTTTAGTCACTTTTTAACAGTACATACTTTAAAGCTTGAGAAGCAGAAGTTCTTTCATGGGCAAGGAGCATGGGGAGGAGGAGGAGGAGGGAATCGGAATCACCAAAGAGGACGTTTTATGCACGCGTCAGGCTCACCCTGCTCCCCAGATTCTGATTCTGCTGTGCCTGAAGAGGCTGCCCAGCATGGATTGGGTGGAAGACGTGCTAGAGATTTGTCTCTCGTGTTTCCCCTCAGTGGGAAGAGTAGTAGGGTGTCATTTAGTGCTCTGTCTAAGGTGGACCACACAGATGATCAAACTCTAGATAAACAATTAGCTATTCTCGACCATCGTATCTCCAGTGCAGAAGGCAGTTCTTAGCATATAAAAGGAGCTCACTAATAAATCGCAAATGGGATCCAAAGAGCACCAAAATCATGGATGAAATAGATAAACATGTCAACACCTAGAACAAGCCTTTTTGGTGTGATCAACATGAGATTACCTCCCCTCATAGTTTCATTGCTACTGACCAAGCCAAAACTATTGTTTTTTGGAGTTTATGGTCTGTTCCAAATCCAAATGTCAACAAAAGTATAGTAGAATTTGGTTAGGCCAGTGATTCAAAGCTGCTTGCTGACATCATAGAGCACGTATTCTAAACTTTTGAGGGCTTGTTTAAACCCAATTATATGGCATGTGAACGGTGGGAACTCTGTAACTGCTGCTGATAGACTGACAAGATTCACTCACCACTGGCTTGAGTCTTTGTGATTCCGTTCAACCTCAAAGGAAAGGAATTCACAGTCTTCACGATCCATTCTGAAGCTGGGCAACCTTTTACCAATGCAAAGAACTAATTGCTTCTTTGTCTCTGGATTGCATATTGCTTATTACTGGCATGACATTCCAGTACCCAAGAAGCATAAATAGTGATCCCTGAAGCTGTTGTAACCTTTTCAGACTATAGCAGCTTGATCATTTGCCTCATTACACTCTCCAGAACTTCTCCTGGATGACAGCCCGAAACGAAGGGTTCCGCTGGCATCCTTCATTAGCACTTTCTTCACCATTTCCCAGCACAGCAAATGTCCCGGGAGCACACGCAGAAAACTTCAGCAACCATCCCTCAGTATTTTAGTCCTTCAAGTCCCTGGGCACATTTCCTAACTATTAAATCATGTGTGTGCTTTCAAAACCGTAAGCTTAATGAGCTTTGCCCACCCCAGCTGGCCCCAAGACAAACCTTTCACTAGAATATTCCTCTCGATGTGATTTTCCTATCACAAATCAGGAACACCAGTGAAAACTCAAAAGCTCACAAAACTAAGATAAGGCATATGAAAATGAAAACAGTTTGAAAAAGGCTGGAAATTACTCTGAAATTACAATTACTGTCATATTTGGTATCAGATATGAAGCCCCTGCTGATCTGATCCCAGCTGCTCCCTTTACCATCCACAGACCCTTGTTCCAATCTATACACCACATCCCCAGCTGGCTATGTGTCCTTCAAAGGCACACCATAGATTTGCACTTTTGGCTCCTCCACTCTACTCGGTAAATGTCTACTTGTCTGTGATGGCCTTGTTCAAATAACTTCTCCATCAACCTTACTTAAACCCAGGTCATTTTCTATCCTGCAAGCAAGCTATAACTTTATATAAACCTTATTTTAGTGCATATCACATTTATGGTGATTATTTCCATACGTCTCAACCTTAGAATATAGATACTTTAGAGCAAGGATGGGGCTTCATCGGCAGTACACATCCAGTGCCCAGCTAAGCACTTGACTTTGTGCAAACAAGAAAACTAAAAGCAATTAATAGTTTATGCCCCAAATTAGAGACATTTTAAGAAACATTTAAGCACTATTAACGTGCCTCTACGTGTTGGGAAAAATCTATTGATAAGGTAAATGTAAAAACATATACTGCAATGAAAAGCCTAATACCGCAACTGTGTAAAACCAATGGGCCACTCTCCTTTGAGGAGTTTAAAAAGAAGAAAACTACCGGTACTGCTCCTAAACAGCAGGAGTTAATTAATTCTTTTTATCTAAACTAGAAGCAATAATCTCATTAATTTGAATGACTGAGAAGCATCTTAATCTTTACATGGGCCAACTCCGTCACATAGTTCCATAGCTATATTATTTTGTTGAAAATGCTGTTTAAATGCTAATGTGAAAGCATCCCAAAGCCAGCCAAAAGTGATATACTTTTATTATCTTTCAATTTAACAATGTAGTTTAAAAACAAGAAGAAATAAAATTAGGGTCTGGAAAAACACTTTGAGGAGATAAAAATTCATCTTCAAAAACTACCATTCTATTGATTATTTTAATTTCAAATATTTTCTATGAGAAAAACCTGTGCTGTGCTAACTAGCCATGAGTTTTGAGTTCTAAGAATACCCTTCACATAGCAGTGCACATTACAGGGAATATTTTCAGTCTGAGAAATGCGTAGCGTATCCTTTGCTAAACAGGGATAAAGAAAGGCAGAGGGAAGTGTTACTCCCTTATGTACTTTAACTTCTAATTAAACAGCCACAAGAGCATCGAAGAAAAAGCCCTCCTTTTCATAGAAAAATATGATTCTATAACATTTAAAATGTTTCTGGCAAAAACATGATGAGAGGAACCAAATATAGGATGCCGAGTTCCTGAACACTTGCATTTCTTCCTTTTTTTCTATACTTAAGAAATCTATTCTGGTTCTCTATCCTTATATACGAAATTTCCTCCCTGACATAATAATATACATAACGACATTATTTATATACCAGACTATCATAATCTTCTGGAAGGGGTCAAGTTCAGGGGTTGAGAGTACAGGCTCTATATCCCAGCTCTCCCACTTAACAAATTTAGACAAGTAGCTTCTCCTCTCTGTCTCATCTTCCTCATCTGTAGAATGGAGCTGATAAAAATACTCTATTTCATTCATTGGAAGACAGAAGCTTCCAGGTTTTAACATTCTAAATTAGGAGGTGTCTTACATTTTCCATCAATCTAAACAGAAATGAAGTTCTGCCAGAGAGGATTTTCATGTTCTCCTGATGGGAGAATTTTCTACCCTCCCTGCACACAGTGCCAAGACTGAGCCATGCAAGTTTTCTTTCTTCACTCTTCTGGGTGATGAATCTATTTTCATTTACCCTTACCCTGAGGGTGGAGGCCCCGATTTATATGAAGGCCTCCTGTCTTATGATTTTACAATTGAAGACATCTTAGACTTGATGAACTACTTGAGAGAGCAGAGCTGAGGAGTAAATGAGATAACACACGGAAAGAGCCTAGAACAGTGCAGGGCACATGATAAGCATCTTACACCTGCTAACTATTATATCATGCTATCAATATCTAGTTGTCACTAAACAGATCAACATGTTAATTACTTAATTCTCTTAAATCGATGCTGAAAATGCAAGCATCAAAGTAAAGAAAGAAAGCCATTTGAAATAGCCCGATGAAAGCAGGGCCCTTTGCATGGCCAGGGTAGCCGGGGCCTATGGCCAGCTGTGGCCTCAATGGAGCAAGACGCAAGACTCAGCCTATTTTCAGAAAGGATCTTGCCAAGTGTTTCAAATCCCTCTGCTGGTTCAGACTGGCCTTCTAGAAAGTGTTCCCTTTTTTGTTAATGGAAAAAGGGATTTAATCTCGAAGAGTTCCTTCTTAACACACTCAAACTGGACTCCCCAGAGCTCTGCAGATGCTGCATCAGCAGGGCAGGCGGGTGGGCTGGCAGGCTGGCAAAGATGCAATTCTCCTGGTATCCCAAAGACTAGCTCGAAGGTCATGCTACTTTGCTAATTCAGTGAAACATAATTACACTGCAAAAAGCTGGTTCCTTTTTAATTCCTCTTACTGATACACAGAGTTATTGCAGTTTAAATTGTTAAATGCCAGGATAGTCACACACGCATTCAGTGGCAACGTGTCCACGTCCACTCAAAGCCTCTGGACTTGGGTGTTAGACTGGAGAAGAAGCCTGTCAATATGCGCAATCTATAGCCAGTTGCAATAATTTCTCCCCCTTTCCTGGGACCAAGCCTTTTTCCTCTGCTGCTCAAGTATGCAAGAAGCAGACAAGTGATGGCTGACTAAGTATCCTTTTCAGAGCTGCTTCATTGCATAACAAAGGGGCCCTTTTCACATTTTGTGAACGGTGTCCCATGGGATTATGAAGGGCACAATTCCTGCAGACATAAATGGCAGCCCTGGTCCCAATAATTGGAATCAAGGCAAGGTCTCATGAATTCCTTTTTTTTTTTTTGGTAAGGAAAATTATCCCTGAGCTAACATCTGTTGCCAATCTTCCTTTTTGCTTGAGAAAGATTGTTGCTAAGCTAAAATCTGTGCCCATCTTCCTCTATTTTGTATATGGGATGCTGCTACAGCATGGCTTGATGAGCAGTGTGTAGGTCTGCGTCCGGGATCTAAACCTGCAAACCCCGGGCCTCGGAAGCAGAGCATGCCAACTTAACCATTACACCACTAGGTCGGCCCCTCATGAATTCTTTTTAATCAAAACATTCCTTTTGCTTATTTTGATGATGACTCAACTAACAAAATATCATACCTTAAAAACTAGTAAATAACTTGCAAATACTATAACTATGGTTTTATAATTATTGTCTTTATCAAAATCCATTACTTATCTATATAGCAAATAATCTAATGAATAACATATATGAGGCTTCCAGTGTTTAAAATAAACAGCTTTTTTGTTTATAAGCACTAACCTGGTGTCAGCTTAAGTGGTGGAAAATACCAGAGGGTACCTTGGGCCTCCAGCTTATTCCCCTGAGTCCTATCTCTTTCCAAAAATCTTCATAGAAGATCTTTACCTTCTGTGGTTACCCATTCCAATAAGTCACATTTCTTAAGGTCACAGTTTCTTCCCATTCTTTGACAAAATCCATCCTTTTACCACAAAAGTCATTTTCTGAAGGTGAATCTTTAAGGGAGATAAGGAGGGTTCTTCTTGT